AACCCATTGAGTTCTGCTCCAAACGAGCCCCAATTCCTCGGACGTTCCGTGTCAAACGGACGCTCTGGATCCCTAGAAAAAAACAATTTGCTAGCATCTTCCACCACTAACCAGCCTCCCAAAAAGCTTCCACCAACAGCCTGCCAAAAGCTTTCCAGCCTCCCAAAAGCATCTGAAACCACCCCTTCGCCACGGCTTTAACCCATTGAGTTCTGCTCCAAACGATTGAGTTCTGGCGGATCTATCATTATTCCCTGGCGCGCTCCCCCTTGCGTCGGCCGGGGTCGGCGGATTCTGGTCTTAGGGACCAAACTTACAAAATGGTTGCATGAAGAAGGAGGAGGAGCTGCAGTTCTGGCTCTTGGGTAATGCGGGTTGGAATGCGGCATGACAACTAGAATCAATGAAAGATGTTGCTTCTGTCATCTCCTTTCTGACCATCTATCCATAAAATCAGTGCTCAGTGTATGTTGATCAAGAAAACAGAAGGTTGGCCATCGTCAGCTCAGTTGCAATTTGGATTTTTGTCCTTACCTGGACACTTTAATATAAAGGAGTGAACGGAAACAGTTTCCTCCCTTGTCGCAGGGTTTCCTCTTGTGTGGTTCTCAGGATTGGAAAATGCCCCCAGCCCAGCCCTGAGTAGAAACGAAGAATTAGTGAAATACTGCCTTGGAGTCTTTTGTGAGAACTCAGTTGAACCTCCAGACTCCAGATAAACCAAACAATGAAAATCCCATTGGTTGCGGGGTCTACACATTCTAAAACACCTCCAACAAGCCGAGTCCCATCCACGATACCTCCCGGGGACACGGTCCCGCGGCGCAGGTGAACGACGGACCCGTTGCGAAGTGGAACAGCTCTGCATCCTCTCCAATTTCCGTGGGCGCCTCTTGGGCTGAAGATAGGTCGTCCACGAAGCTGGACGTGTTTAAGATTTGGAGGATCATGAACAATCATGAAGGATCCATTGGACCGTATTCTTGTTGATTCTTGTTGTATTCCCCGCTCTTTTTGGACCGCGCATTACCGCGCATTCTGATGGAAGTTGCAATCCAACACCACTCATTGGGGGGGTGGTTGCTGGCTGGAGTCTTTAGGGATAGTTGGGGGCACTTTGTGGAAGAATGTGCAGCAGCTCTAGGGATGGTGATGGATCCTTTCTTGGAGTCTTGGTGGTTGCAGTATCCATCCCTCACAGCTTTCTGAGATTTTGGGGCCCTCGTTGGCTTTAGGGGAAGACCCTTCAAGAAGTTACATATATAGATGAAGCTTCACCTGACACAATGGGGCTGTCTCTGTGTTCTGTTCTGTTTGCAGAGTGATTTGCTATATTTATAATCTCCGTTGCTTCCGGCTATCTAAAATGAGTGTGGTCGACCACGGAAACCCCATTTCATTTGACGCATTTAGTCTAAGGGTTATCTGAAATGGGTATCAGACAACATTGTGGGAAAGTGGTGCAGACTTTTTTCACTTTTCAGATTCAACGACTTGTGCAGGCGTTTGGTATGTGAAAGTCATTGAACCAATGTCTGGATCAAATGAGGGGGGTGAACTTCTATAGTCCGGGTGAACTTCAACGCTGTGTGCGTGAAAGACAACGAGTCTCTGGGTCCGAAGAGTCGGTAAGTGTGCATACCTGATCATACCTTGGTGTGTGTGGTGTGCTACAAATCTTCAGAGTTCAAAGAAGTGCGAGAAAGGACCCCCCAACTTCCGGAGCTTTTGTGCTCTGGGGGGTTTCCAGGCAGTAGTCTTCGTGAATCTTCGTGAAGAGAATGTCTTCATTACCTTACCAGTACAGTCAATCTCAGAGAAACCCCGCCATTGGAGAATGAACCACGGGCGAATGGATTGATTTCTTTGAAGGGCCCTCCCACTCGCTACCCCAAACTCTACTATGTAGCAGGTAGTTTGGTACATGAACTCCATTGTTCAAGACCCTATTGAGAAAGCGGAACCGTACGACACTGTCTTTGAGATGTCACACCAGCCCGTCCCAGGACCGTGTGGTAGACCTCGGCAGCGGAGGTGTGACCGAACCCGTCCCCTTGGGGCACCCCGAAAGCCTCGTTCCGCTGTGCCGAAGCTGGTGCACCCCCCTTGACCAGGGAGGGATCCGAAGATATCCGAAGTTGAGTTCTGAAAAGAAAGGAAGTGCT